TCTTCTCTCTCGGCACAAGCAACAGATATCTTCTCCTTGAACCCCTGTAGACCCTCCGTTTCCAGCGTTTCATCTTCGTCGATGTCGAGCCCCTTCCATACGTCCTCTACAACCTTGACCCATTCCGTGGGTTGTCTACCCCTCTTTTTGTTTGCCCACTTCGCCTCCCATACAATTCCCGGCAACCTCTCCTCTCCCATCCCGCACATGCGGTACTGCCAGGTCAGCTTCCTCGCGTCTCTTCCCGACCGTAGGGATTGGATCCCCAATTCTGCCCTCACGGCTGCATTACTTGTGCGCCTGGAGCATCCTAGGATGGTGATCGAGGCTTTCATCTGCGCCGCCTCGAGTTCTTTCACTACCTTCTTATTTCCTTCCCATACTTCTCCGGCGTACTCCAGCGGCGGTACGATTACGCTCTTCAAAACCGTCATCGGGCGAGCACAAAACCAACTCGAAATGCATTCGAGAGTATCATAATATGAAGCACAGTGGCTGGGGCTCTGACTGTGAACCAGTCAAGAGACTAGACACGTGGTAAATAAGAACGTTGGGTGCGACGCTGACCGCGTGAACGGGTGGCCAGCTCTGCAGGAGTGCATTGATACCCACCAAACGTCCATCAGTCTGCTACTTCCGGCGTCCGTATCGATTGGACAGGGTTTGTCTCTCCAGTCACCTGTTCGGTCGCTCCGACGCCGAAGCCCACCCCAGCAGTCGCGCTCGGAGAAGCCGCTGATCTCTGCTCCCGAAACAAAAGCTCGGCATCACAGTAAAACCCCACCAGAGGCTTCACCAGCTCATTTCGTGCAAGCAGAACGCCTTCACTTTCCGCCGAAACACCGCAAAGCCTCAGGGTAAAGGTGGCAGCATCGCTGCCGCCGGCGCTCGGGAGAAGGGACCGCGGCGGAAGGCGGAGGAGGCGCCGGGGGAGCGTGATGTGTTCCGCGTGCAGCAGCACTTTGAGGAAGGGAGCGGAAACGGTCAAGGACGCCAGACAAGCGGGGTATCGAAGTCGGGAATAGGAGTTGGAAAAAGTGGTTTTGGCGTTGCCTGTGCAGGATCGACAGTCACTTGTGCCTGTTGGATCAGTCGGTGTGAAATTCGAGCATTCTCTTCCTCTTCTCTCGGGGATTGTGGTCTGTCTAGTGGTCTTTTCTCTCTGTCTCTCTGTCTCTCTGTCTCTCTGTCTCTCTCTCTCTCTTCTCTCTGTCTCTGCAGAGGCAATCGAAAAGTCGCTATGAAAACCGCACATCCTTTGACTAACAGCAGCATAGGCAAATACGCCCGCTTCAACACGTAAGGATTACGCCTCAAAAACCATTCACACAGGTGTTGCGAGTAAATATGCTACACGATGCATCGAACTCGTGTGTTCATTGGTGTGTGCCTACTGGACGTCGAACGTGGACTTCGATACCCCGGTGGCAAGAAAGCGATCGCTCAAACGCCACCTACAAAATGATGGGTAGACAGGTCGTCCCACACACCGTCTGAACCCTTGGGTCTAGTCGTGGGAATTGCTACTCCGGCAGTGTCGAAGCGACCACGGCCGTCTTTCGGAGGACCGTCGAAGGTTGGAGGGGCTGCAGGTGCTTCGGAAATCTTCGCTATGCGGACCCGCAACCTTTTTCGGCGTTCGAAATACGACGCGGGCACCTGAGCGGCCGAACGAAATCCCTGAATGCAGGGGACGTGCGAGCGAGTCTTGCGTGAAAGAGAAAACAGGTGCATTTCAAGTGTCTGCTACCAATCACCAACGGCCCTGACGGGAACAAGACGGATTTTGTGTGGGGAGGATGCTTGCAAGAGCCTCCGGCAGTTTAAGACGCCTCTGTATTGCCAGAGACAACAATCGAAGCAAGCTGATTGCGCACAGTAGTTCTTGAAACGACGCCGTCAACAGATGTCTGAAGGGTATCCCCAAACAAGCCTCACGTGCACACCCCGGCGGTAGACGAGAAAAGAGATGGCCAGCGCCGAACCCACCATCATAGTCGCCGTGCCTGCCCTGGTAAACCCCGCAGCAGCAACGCGAGCAACCGAACCGAGACCCGCGGAAGGTGGTAAGGCAGGGACAGTCATGAGATGCACCAGACACCTGGAACGGTTCTGCTCAGATATGGAAATACTGCATGCGCACTCCAACACATGCTTAGGCACGCATACGTCGCTGGGGGTGTGGTCGGATGCGGTAGTTCAGCCTTTCAGAAAGTTTGACCCCGCGCTCCTGAGTGTTCCAGGTTTCAGGAACCAATCCACGTCAACGAGCCCCGGTCATCCCCGGGAGGCTCTGTAATGACCAGCAGATTGTTGCTGCTGTCGGAATCGTTCAAGAAGTAGACACCCGTGGGAACGCTCCCGAGTGAGAGAAAGAGCGGGACTTGAACAAATGCGAAGGCGCTGAAGGGGGTGCAGAAGACAATTTTTGATGTTGACAAACTTGAAAATAAACGCAAGAGCACCAGAAACTGCACAACAGACACACCAGACCAGTAGGAAGGCATCGCCAAAACAGATATCGTTGATTCTCGCACAGGGCGGAGGCGGAGGCTGCTCAAAACATACATTTCACGCGTCTACCTCTGCAGGCCTACTTTGAAACCAAGAAAAAAATCACACCATTCAAAATTCAAGTCAAAAGAGCCAAAACGGAAGGTGCTCAAACAAGGTCAGTTTTGAGGGTTAGGTTAGGCATGCTATTGTCAGCAGTAGAGGACATCATGAAGAGGCGTCGCGAGTGCCGGCACGTTCAGGTTTTGCTACTGGAGCTGAAATATCGAAGGTCGCAGCTGCCCTTGAAAACAGTCCGAAATCTGCGCCGGAACCAAGCGGCATCCAACATTTGTCAAAGCCATGCTCACCGCCACGGACTGTAAACCCCTGAACGGAGGGGTGTCAGCAGTAGCTGGTGCCATTAGCTACTGCTGTACCCGTAGTTCAGGAGATTGGAGTCGGTGGCGGCGAGCATGGCTTTGACACATGTTGGATGCCGCTTGGTGCCGGCGCAGATTTCGGACTGTTTTCAGAGGCTGCGGCGACCTTCGATATGTCTGCTCCAGTAGCAAACCAACGTGCAAGCACGCACGACGGCTCTTCATGGTGTCCTCTACTGCTGGCAATAGAATGTCGAACCTAACCTTGGCGGGAAGGTTGTGTTCTTTTGTATAGGATTAGTCTAAAGTATTGCAAAAGAACCAGCGTCAAAACCCCTTGTCTGCATCTCGATTCACTTTACAGCTGCAGTATTTAACAAAATCCACAGCAGACTACCCCTTCAAGTTCCAAAAATGAATTTCTGCGCGTGCCAAGACGCCCAAAGGACCATATGAGGTGTCCTTCCCGCTATGGGTATATCTACAACTGTTCAATCGCCCTCAGCCCACCGGAATAACCGGAGATTGTCGTTAATCTTGATGGATATCGTGGCAAGCACTCTCTCGGTTATGCGCGGAGGCTGCGCAGGCGCGCCTCCTGCTGCTGTCGCCGCTGCCTTGGCGCGCATTTCGCCGCCGCTTCCATTTTCCCGCGCATGATTGTCTTGGGCGCCGTCCCCCATGGAGCTGGTGCGCTGTCAAGTTGCCCACTAAAAATAGCACTGCTGTTGTCCTCCTTTCCCCACCTTGCCTCCTGCTTTCGTTTCCGTGCGCAAACACTCTGTACACTGCTGCTGTACGCCGCTGTGTGCGATGTACAGCCGGGCAACTGATGGCCGATTATCTGCTTATGTCTGCCCAACGTCACAGTACCGGAAAGTTACGAAGATGGTGATTGAGTAAGCACGCAGTGCCCACCACTCCACGTGCTCCGTGTGTATGGGGAGGTGTTGGGTGTTGGGGGGGCGTTGATGACGAGTGTCGCGGTCTGTGATTGTGCTGCACCTGCGTTGCAGCCCCTCGAAAATAAACACTTTTTTTTTTTTTCGGGACAACCGGAGCGAAACTATGGTGCCCCCTACTGTCTTTTTCTGCTTTTTTTGAATTGCTCCGCGAAACCGTAGCTCTCGTTTGAGCACCACAGCGTGGCACGCCGAGCATTCCACCCCGAGATACAGCCGAGGGAGCCCCCACCGCTCCCGCTACTAGCCACCTTAGTCGTTTCCTTGGGATTTTTGCTAAGCATGACCCGGCGCAAGGTGGACGAGGAGCAGGTTCGGAAGGCCTGTGCAGCGATAGATGATGGAATGTCGGTTAGGAAGGCTGCTGGGGTCTTTGGGGTAGGTCGTACGTCCATCGAAGACCGCCGCCGTGGCAAGGTGGCCATGAACGCGAAGGTTGGTGCCGAGACCATCCTGAGCAAAGAAGAGGAGGATTCGCTGGAAGATATTCTGCTGTTTGCTGCTCGCAACTTCTTGGCTGTGGGTCGGGTTCACCTCAGAGATGCGGTGCGACGACTCTGCAACGACGGTCGGCGGATCCCTTGGGATCCAGAGAAGGGTCCGGGGAAAGATTGGCTTGCGGGCTTCCG